GCACAGTTAAGCGGAAACATATCATAGAAATATTTGAAAAAAGCACAGTTAAGCGGAAACATATCATACTAGTATTTAAAAATAGCGCAGTAAAGTAGAAACATATTAAACTAGTATTTGAAAATAACATGGTAAAGCAGAAAGAAATCATAGTAGTATTTGAAAATAACACGGAAAAGTGGAAACATATCATACTGCTATTTGAAAATAGGACGGTAAAGCGGAAACATACTATAGTAATATTTGAAATAAGCACGGTAAAGCGAAAACATATCATACTAGTATTTAAAAATAACACGGTAAAGCAGAAAGAAATCATAGTAGTATTTGAAAAAAGCACGGAAAAGCTGAAACATATTATACTAATATTTGAAAATAGCTTGGTAAAGAGGAAAAATATCATACTAGTATTTGAAAATAGCAGAAAAAAGCGGAAACATATGAAACTAGCATTTAAAAATAGGTCGGTAAAGCGGAAACATATCATACTAGTATTTGAAAAAAGCGCAGTGAAGCGGAACCATATCATAGTAATATTTGAAAATAGCACGGAAAAGCTGAAACATATCATACTGCTATTTGAAAATAGCACGGTAAAGCGGAAACATATCATACTAGTATTTAAAAATAGCATGGTAAAGCAGAAACATATCATACTAGTATTTGAAAAAAGCGCGGTAAAGCAGAAAGAAATCATAGTAGTATTTGAAAATAGCACGGAAAAGCTGAAACATATGATACTAATATTTGAAAATATCTTGGTAAAGCGGAAAAATATCATACTAGTATTTGAAAATAACAGAAAAAAGCGGAAACATATAAAACTAGCATTTAAAAATAGGTCGGTAAAGCGGAAACATATCATACTAGAATTTGAAAATAGCATGATAAAGCATAAAGAAATCATAGTAGTATTTGAAAACAGCACGGGAAAGCTGAAACATATCATACTGCTATTTGAAAAAAGCGCGGTGAAGCGGAACATATCATATCATAGTAATATTTGAAAATAGCACGGAAAAGCTGAAACATATCATACTGCTATTTGAAAATAGCAGGGTAAAGCTTAAACATATCATACTAGTATTTAAAAATAGCATGGTAAAGCAGAAACATATCATACTAGTATTTGAAAAAAGCGCGGTAAAGCAGAAAGAAATCATAGTAGTATTTGAAAATAGCACGGAAAAGCTGAAACATATGATACTAATATTTGAAAATATCTTGGTAAAGCGGAAAAATATCATACTAGTATTTGAAAATAACAGATAAAAGCGGAAACATAAAAAACTAGCATTTAAAAATAGGTCGGTAAAGCGGAAACATATCATACTAGAATTTGAAAATAGCATGATAAAGCATAAAGAAATGATAGTAGTATTTGAAAACAGCACGGGAAAGCTGAAACATATCATACTGCTATTTGAAAATAGCACGGTAAAGCGGAAACATATCATACTAGTATTTAAAAATAGCATGGTAAAGCAGAAACATATCATACTAGTATTTGAAAAAAGCGCGGTAAAGAAGAAAGAAATCATAGTAGTATTTGAAAATAGCACGGAAAAGCTGAAACATATGATACTAATATTTGAAAATATCTTGATAAAGCGAAAAAATATCATACTAGTATTTGAAAATAACAGAAAAAAGCGGAAACATATAAAACTAGCATTTAAAAATAGGTCGGTAAAGCGGAAACATATCATACTAGAATTTGAAAATAGCATGATAAAGCATAAAGAAATCATAGTAGTATTTGAAAACAGCACGGTAAAGCAGAAACATTTTATACAAGTCTATGAAAATAGCATGGTAAAGTGGAAACATATCATACTAGAGTTTGAAAATAGCACGGTTAAGTGGAAACATATCAAACTAGTATTTGAAAATAGCACGGTAAAGCGGAACCATATCATAGAAATATTTGAAAATAGCACAGTTAAGCGGAAACATATCATACTAGTATTTAAAAATAGCACGGTAAAGCGGAAACATATCATACTAGTGTTTGAAAATAGCGCGGTAAAGCAGAAAGAAATCATAGTAGTATTTGAAAAAAGCACGGAAAAGCTGAAACATATTATACTAATATTTGAAAATAGCTTGGTAAAGAGGAAAAATATGATACTAGTATTTGAAAATAGCAGAAAAAAGCGGAAACATATAAAACTAGCATTTAAAAATAGGTCGGTAAAGCGGAAACATTTCATACTAGTATTTGAAAAAAGCGCGGTGAAGCGGAACCATAACAAAGTAATATTTGAAAATAGCACGGGAAAGCTGAAACATATCATACTGCTATTTGAAAATAGCACGGTAAAGCGGAAACATATCATACTAGTATTTAAAAATAGCATGGTAAAGCAGAAACAAATCATACTAGTATTTGAAAAAAGCGCGGTAAAGCAGAAAGAAATCATAGTAGTATTTGAAAATAACACGGAAAAGCTGAAACATATGATACTAATATTTGAAAATATCTTGGTAAAGCGGAAAAATATGATGCTAGTATTTGAAAATAACAGAAAAAAGCGGAAACATATAAAACTAGCATTCAAAAATAGGTCAGTAAAGCGGAAACATATCATACTAGAATTTGAAAATAGCATGATAAAGCATAAAGAAATCATAGTAGTATTTGAAAACAGCACGGGAAAGCTGAAACATCATACTGCTATTTGAAAATAGCATGGTAAAGCGGAAACATATCATACTAGTATTTAAAAATAGCATGGTAAAGCAGAAACATATCATACTAGTATTTAAAAAAAGCGCGGTAAAGCAGAAAGAAATCATAGTAGTATTTGAAAATAGCACGGAAAAGCTGAAACATATGATACTAATATTTGAAAATATCTTGGTAAAGCGAAAAAATATCATACTAGTATTTGAAAATAACAGAAAAAAGCGGAAACATATAAAACTAGCATTTAAAAATAGGTCGGTAAAGCGGAAACATATCATACTAGAATTTGAAAATAGCATGATAAAGCATAAAGAAATCATAGTAGTATTTGAAAACAGCACCGTAAAGCAGAAACATTTTATACAAGTCTATGAAAATAGCACGGTAAAGTGGAAACATATCATACTAGTGTTTGAAAATAGCACGGTAAAGTGGAAACATATCAAACTAGTATTTGAAAATAGCACGGTAAAGCGGAACCATATCATAGAAATATTTGAAAATAGCACAGTTAAGCGGATACATATCATACTAGTATTTAAAAAAAGCACGGTAAAGCGAAAACATATCATATTTAAAAATAGGTCGGTAAAGCGGAAACATATCATACTAGAATTTGAGAAAATACCATGGTAAAGCATAAAGAAATCATAGTAGTATTTGAAAACAGCACGGTAAAGCAGAAAAATTTTATACAAGTCTATGAAAATAGCACGGTAAAGTGGAAACATATCATACTAGTATTTGAAAATAGCACAGTTAAGCGGAAACATATCATAGAAATATTTGAA